TACACTCATCTCCAGGCCAGCGGTCACTCTTTCAGGGATGAAGATGTTCACATCCTGGACAGAGAGGAACGATGGTTTGAGAGAGGAGTAAAGGAGGCCATCTTTGTGAAAAGAAATCGTGCTAATGATCCATTGTTAGGCTGATGGTCCTTCTTGAGCATGTGATCAGCTGGTTCTGGTTGTCAGCAGCAAACTGGTTGATCCACTCTGAGAAGGTGCTATTTAAGAGACTGAGCTGAAAACAGCTCCTCAGACTGAGGAAGTCCTCAGGATGAGAGACGAAACGTTTCTATTATTTTGTTTTGTTTTGTTTTTTGAATGTCCAGAGGACCAGATTGAACTTTTTTAGATTTTTCTACCTGGATTATTGAGCAGCATCAGGATATTTTAAAAGGCTGCCGTTAATCAGCTTTTGACCTTTTTACATTATCATGAAGTTTGTGAAGAGTTCCAGTCTGGTTTTGTCCCGTCAAGGCACTGACACTTTAAAGAGTTTTTATTGCTCTTCATTTTAACTGTTGGCGCAGATTGTTTTAATTCTTTCAGATTTAACCGCTGCCTTTGATGCGCTCAGTCACAGCATCCTTTTATCCAGACTTGAGCGTGTTGTTGGTCTTAAAGGCTCGGTTTTGCCACGTTATTTTTCTGTGTCCATGGGAGAATACTTTTTCCCGTCACCTGTTTGTTGTGGTGTTCGTCGAGGGACAATTTTGAGCCCAGTTCTGTTTTGTTTCTTTATGCAGCCTTTTGGGTGGATATTTAGAAAGCATAAAATTGTTTTGCCAATGACATTCAAATAAATTTCCCCATTAAAATGGATGTCTCTGCCTCACTGCAGCCTCTGTTAAACTGTCTCCAAGACGTCAAATACTGGGTGACCAGAACTTTCTGACTTGAACGAAAGCAGGACTGAAATTGTTTTTTTATCTTATCTCGTCTTTTATTTGGAAATCGTACTCTTGTCATTTGGTTTGCTGAAATTTAATTGCCAAAGAGAAATCTTCTATTCCTCAACAAGACCTCACAATATTTACCCACACCATCATCTCCTCTGGACTGGACTGCTGCAGCTCTTTGTCATTGTGATGGGAAAAAAGTGATTCCCAAAACTACCAGGTGTAATCTTCACATTTAATTACAAAGCTGTGGAAAACGACCAGCAGTCACAGAAGATCAGTGCATTTACAGGTCCATACTTATCCGTGTATTCACCTGTCTGAGGTTCTGACCCGTTCTCACTTCCCGAACAGAAAAAAAGTCAGTCCATTTACTGACCGGTCACATGAAGACTGATTATTATATAGAGCAGGGGTGTCAAACTCACTTACAAAAGGAGCCAAAATTAAAACCTTGTTCAAACTAAGGGCCAGTTTCAGAATCTACATGAACTCAAGTCAGAGACCAACATCTTTTCTTGGCTGCAGGTTCCTCAACAAGAATTTGATTGGTCTCATTTGACGTTCTCTGTTGCACTTTTGACATCATAATCAAAGATTACTGAAAAAATTAAAGCGATAAAGTATTTTACATTTAAAGTAACATCTTGGGGGCCAGATAAGATGTCAACAAGGGCCACGTTTGGCCCCCAGGCCTTGAGTTGGACCCTTGATATAGAGTAAGGACCATAGAACACTTCACCAAAAACAGTAAAAGAGCAGTGAACATTATGGAGCATGCCGAGTGCAAATAATACACATTCCCTTGACCTTGATGGTCATTCTTGAACAGTCGGCTCTCCAGCGCCTGCAGTTAGTCCAGAACGCTGCTGCGTGTCTTTGAACAGGAACCAGAAGGCAGGAACATATCTCTCCTGTTTCAGATGGTTTACATTTATTTCATCCATGTTTTATCCTCTGTCATCTTGACCTTCTTGTGACACACTTTGTTCAGTGGTGTTGTTTTTCATGGACGGTAAATCCACTGGTATTACTGGTATCTTTGTTAAAAGAGATTCTGTGTTTTGTGCTGCAGGCCGAGGTCTTTCCTTATCCCGAAATTGGAAACGAGGAGCTGGAGGAGATCAAACAGTTCGTCACTCCTGTGGAGAAATTCTTCAGCGAGGAAGGTGAGTGTAGCGATACGTTAAATGATCTTTTTGAGTCTTAACTAAGAGGTATTTCATAAGCTGAGTAATGTTTTTTTATTTTTAGTTGACTCAGCAAAGATTGATGAAGAAGCTAGAATTCCACCTGAGACACTGGATGGCCTAAAACAGCTCGGCCTGTTTGGAATTATGATTCCTGAGGAGTATGGTGAGTTTAAAGGATGCTTCATACAGTGGTGCTTGAAACATTGTGAACTCTTTATAATTTTCTATATTTCTGCTTAAATATGACCTAAAACATCATCAGATTTTCACACAAGTCCTAAAAGTAGATAAAGAGAACTCAGTTAAACAAATGAGACAAATATTATACGTGGTCATTTATTTATTGAGGAAAATGATCCAATGTTACATATTTAGTTGAGTTGCAAAAGTATGTGAATCTTTAATGTTCAGTCAAGTCATCTGGACAATTTCTTTCTTTTTATTTTGCTGAGATGTTTCGTCCTTCATCCAAAGGACTTCTTCAGTCTGAGGAGCCACAAACAAACTGGAGTCCCACAAGCACCATACTCCCATATAGGGGTGGGCGATATGGCTCAAATATAATGTGATATTTCAGAACATTCTGACGATACCAATTAGGGATGCACGATATTATCGGCATGGTATCGGCCGATATTAGTGTTAAAGTTCAATAGCGGACATCGGCCATGCCATTAAAATAACTCGCCGATATAAAAGGCGCTGTCTTTACCTGCAGCGGCAGCGCAACGCGATGACATCACGTTCGTCTACCCGATCTCACGGCGGAGAGGAAAATCCAAAATGTCTGCGTTGTGGAAGTTTCTTTTTTCGTTGGTGAGGATGTCGGATTCCCAAGATTTTTTGGACCATGTTGAGCCTCGCTACATCGTCCGCAGTCTGAGATATTTTTCCGACGTAGCCTTACCTGAGTTACGAGCCGTCATTTCCGATGTCGTTGAGAAGCTAACAGCCGATAGCACGACTTGTTGGGTGAGTTTTACCACAAACATCTGGACGTCGTGTTAGCCCGTTAGCATGATTAGTCTTACGGATCAATGGATAAAAACTTTGACTTTAAAGAGTCTGTCCTTCATGCACAGGAGTGCAGAGGATCCACACTGCAGCTATAGGAACCTGGAACAAGAAGTGAGACAGCATCACAGGCGACTAATGCTAATAAATAACATTTAACACTTTTTGTTTAATATAAGTTAAAGTGCTCTGCATATCATATGTCTGTTACTGAACATATGTCACCAGCTCTTACAGCTGTTGCACAGTTTTTGTATCAGATAATCCTAAATAAGATGCTATGTTCTGACAAAATAACGTGTATACAATATCGGTATCACATCGGTTACTGGCCAAATAAGTTTTAGCATATCGAGTATCGGCCAAAAATCCAATATCATGCATCCTTAATAACAATAAATGTTGTGATGTAACAAATCATAGTTATTCATTTGACAAAATGAACTTGTTGCTTTGCAGTATTAAGAAAAAACAAGGATTAATTTTACTGCAATTACTTTATTTAGTAAAGTATTCAGTCTCAGTATAAAAATTACTAAATAAAAATGAAAAAAGTATGCACAAAATATAGAACAAAATCCACCACAAAAACTAAAGTGCAGGCGCAGTCCCCCCAAAAAAGAAAAACTAAATAAAATTAAAGCTTATGGTCTGCATAAATGTAACCTACAAGAAAAAATATGTTGCCTTTAAATGAGCTGTAACTTCCAAAACTTGTGACAAACGCTGAAAACTAATGAAATGCTGCCTGAAAGGACTGATGATCAGAACAGCCATCATCCAGTTTCCTCAGGAAAGCAGCTGGTCTCGAGGTTTGAGCTGCACAGTTCCCAGTCGCTGTTGGTGCACGGTCAGACTCCGGTGGCTCCGCGGTCCAACTTCACCATAAATCGGTGGTTGATGCAGTCACTGTAATCCGCTGCGTGGTGGGATGACGTACTTACGTCATGAAATTAGCATGTCATGATATCATTTATGTTCCCGGGCAAGTTTTTTTACTGGTATTATAGTGAATGATATGATATGGCCCAGCCCTACTCCCAAAGAGGTTTCTGGGGCCCACCCTCTCCCCCGTCAACTCCTCTAAGGCAGCCATGTCAAAATGGTTCAAAACACCAAAGTGTTTTGAAAAAAGAAACTGTCCAGATGTCTGACTGAACATTGTTGGAGTTGTGTCTGGATTATTGAGCATGAACTTTGGTGTATTCAATTCAATTCAAAAATATTTTATTAATCCCAGAGGGAAATTAAATGTTGTTGTAACTCGTCATCCTGGTTTCATTAATGAGTTGTTCTAGATGCTGATGCTGTGGGCAGGAAGGATCTCTTGTAGCGTCTGTCCTACAACAGATCTGAAGAAGCCTCTGACTGAAGACACTGTTGTTGTATGACAGTCTGATGTTGTATGACAGTCTGTTGTTGTATGACAGTCTGTTGTTGTATGAC